GCGCTTTTTTGACAATTTCCAGCATTTCTTTATTTTTACGAAATTATTGAAAATTTTCAAAGGTTTTTCAAACTCTCCACAAGAGGTGCATGCCAGCCTCGGCGAATGCCACATCCTGTCTCTGACGGACTCGGCCTCTGTCACCCGGTTGGTGCCTGCTTCGGTGTCTATAACAACCGACTTCTGCAGGACTGCGTGTTTCCGTCAATGTCTCTGGTTAGATTCGGTAAGGGAGAATTTTGAAAAAATTTCGAATCTGTAAACATTTCGAGAAATAAAAAAATCCTGGAAATTGTCTAAAAGACACATAAAACCAAAAAAATTCAAAACAGGGAAAAAAATTGAAATTTTTCAGAATTGTTTATTTTGTAAGCTTTTTGGGCATTTTCCAGCATTTTTAATGTTTTGAGGAATTTTGAAGTGTTTTGATAGTTTTCCGCACCTGATCTCTGCCGGATACGGTCTCTGCCTTACCCATCCTCTGCCATCCCGGTATCTATAGGTAACGGTCTGTGCCGTACCCTGTCTCTAACGGACCCTGTCTCTGCCTGAAATTTTTCAAAACTTTTTGTTTTTGAACAATTTCCAGCATTTTTTTATTTTTCGAAAACAATTTCAAAATTTTCACCCGGTGTTCGTGGGACTCGATTTCTGAGGGAACCGGTCTGTCCCTGTCCCGATGTCTGCCGGCCGACTCCGGATGTCTGGTGGAACGGTCCTAAAAATCGATTTTCTTTAATTTTAAAAAAAATTCAGAAATTTAAAAAAGGTAAATTTCATAAAAACGTAATAAAACTTATTAAAAATTATTGTAAAGTTGGTATTTTTTTAAAAAATGGTTCTCTGCGCTTTTTGAACAATTTCCAACATTTTCTGATTTTTCGAAAATGTTTAAATATTTGAAAATTGTTTTCAAAATTCGCAACCGTTCTCTCCCTGCACAGGTCTCTGCCTTCCTCGGCATCTGCCGTACCCGGTCTATGCCGGTCTGGATGTCCGAAAAATTTTCAGAATTTTGAAAATGTTTCAGCAATTTAAAAAGGTCGTAAATATTATAATAAAACGTATTAAACGATGAATTTTCGAAAATTATTCTTAAAGTTTAAATTTTTTTAAAATGTTTTGGTTTTGTGCGCCTTTTGAACAATTTCCAACATTTTCTGATTTTTCGAAAATGTTTATAAATTTCCAATATTTTCTTTTTCAAAATTCTCACTCGGTTTCTGCCGGACCCTGTCTCCCCCTGCCCCAGTCTCTTCCGGACTTGGGCTCTGTTTTGTTAATTACATAGCAGAATTCTACTGTTCTCGAAGCACAATTTTTGCGCTGCTCTCTTCTTGTTTAAAATCTAACTATGGAATTATGGGTCTATAATATATTGAACGTCCTAATTTTTAGTATCCCGGTATTTATTTTTCATTACTGCTCAGGTTTAGCTTCGCCATGCGGCGCGTGCAACAGCGGCTCAGAGAAGACTGGAGTGGAGTTCGAGGCGTTGGCCCAGAACTGCAGTAGAAAACTTGCAATCAGAATGTCACACAATCCTCGTCTCTCCAAGATCGACGTGGATGCTTTCAAAGACGTTGGGATTTGCTCGGTAAGACTAATGCCGAGTTCCCGCGGTCGCTTCAACCCTGAGGAACGATTTCCCCTTCACCCACTGATCAGGAGGATATGTGGACCCCATAATCTGTCTGGACGGGATGAATTCCTGCCTCGACAGTGAACGGCAAACTATTGGCACATTCTGAACATTCGGCTGGCAAACTAAGATTCAGGGTCAAGGTTGCTGCCTTCTGGGTTGTATTGCCGTGTAGTCTGGTAGATGTTTCAGAGGTCCTTGCTGCCACCGTTATCGTCCTGATGATAGACGCAGAAAGGACCTCTGAAACGTTAGTAAACTTCTAACATACTTCGCGGAACTACAACCCAGAAGACAGCCATGTTCCTACTTACTGTCGTGAGAACCTCAAATCCTGCTTAGACTGAGGATATATGAGAAAAAATGTTTTCAAGATAACATTTGGTCCTGAGCGACAGGAAAAACTCAAAACAGAGAGATTTATAACTTGTACTAGGGCAATCAGAAAATAATAATGGAATTGGTCTAACACCCAGAAAAATGAAAGAGGTTGGGGATAAATTATAAGGAGAGTATAAAAAGTGTTCTCGAAACCGCAGGGTTCGCAGAGAATTACGTAAAATGACGGGCTCTTTGAACCGATACTGAATATTTGACTGACCTTGGAATGCAGATTTTTGTCGGTCACGTTACTCGGACTCGGGTGGTTCTTGTTGCAGCTGGACTTGAGCTACAACGTGCTGTCGTCTCTGGATGAGAAGCTCACGCACTGGGAGTCGCTCGACGCGGCAGACCTACAGGGTAACCCCTGGGACTGTACCTGCCCCCTGCAGTGGGTCCTAGACAGGCTGGTGCCCCACCTTTACAGAACGAGGCAGGACCTCCTTTACGAGTTGAGGTTTGTGCGATCGCTCTGCAAAAATGAGAAATCAGACATCAACACATGCAGGGAAGAGTTCTTAATATTTTTGACGAAATGTTAGGTCAGCTATATTATTTAGTGTTCTGTCTGACGACAGGTCCATATGAACAGGATCCTTCCATCCTTTTCTCGGACTGGGACCTGTTCATATACGTTCTTGGCATATGATCCAGAAGTGGTTTGCCATTGCCTTCTTCTGTGTGTGAATGGAGTAATTGTTGGGATGCCACGGAGGAAAACTCCGTGTTGCCTAGACCACGGCCTGGCCCAACACAAGTTATAAATTCGGGCACCGCCGGGAATCGAACCCGAGACCCCAGGATTACAAGGACAAAGGATAAATTATCTTAAAGTGAAAGTAATTCTGTCTGTATGTGCGTGTGATATGAATCAGGGATAAATAACAGGTTTCGTGGGGTGAATGCGTGGTGTGCTTTTGTTTAGGAGAAAAGTAATGGTGTAGTTTAGTAGTTGACAAACGTGTTTCTTATTTGAGAGATCCGAAGTCCCGACATCGAATCTTAGTCTCGCTATCCTGAGATGTTCCTCAAGGGGCCAACTCAGTCTATCCACACACCTGAGAAAGTAGAACCATGCGTCCAAATGCATTCATCACTGTTTCTCAACGGGGGTCCGCGAGTTGAGTAGATTCTATTCCTTCATTTTACTATGCTATGTTAAGTCTTTACTCTGTTGAATTAACTGGATGAGATCATTTTGGGGATATGGTACGCGGTATAAGAATGCTTCAGAAATACTGCAATATGTCATTGGATGTTGCATAACGCACTAAGCCCCGGATGAAGATCGGATAATTTAGCTGGAATAAATGACATCGAACTCTGTAATGCATTTAGACGTACCCGCAATCCATCCACCTGACAGAAATTGTTAGAGGCAAAGGGCAAGGATTTCTTCGGTTAGTCGCTGGATTTCCACCGCGGAGACTGGGACTGGCGCCCAGGCCAGTCCAATCAGAATTTGCTGTGGACAAAGTGGCAGTGGGACAGGTTTCTCTCAGAGTCCTCCGTCTTTAACCCCGACGTAATTTCACTGGTGTTTCATATGCAATGATATACAGGGCTATTCTAAATTATGTTCCCAATTTGAAAGACATGCTACTCACGTTTAATGAAATTCAGATGCACAAAATTGGTACCGATGGAAAGAGAAACTCTCCAAGTTTCTTTCGGTACATCACAGATGTTCAATGTGAGCCCCCTTGGTAACTGCGTGTGAAACTTGCACGGACCCGCTCAACTGTTTCCTCGCTTACTAACGGGCGGCCGATTCACTTTCTCTTACAGATGCAGCCCCGGAATACCACTTACGAATTGTATGCCCACTGGGTGGATCTGCCCGTCTTCGATGGCAGCCATTTTCTCCCATATCGCCCCTGGCGGCGAACAGTTTTTCTACGCAGCCACGAAGTATACCAACAATAAACTTGGAGAGTTTCTCTTTCCATCGGTACCAATTTTGTGCATCTGAATTTCATTAAACGTGTGTAACATGTGTTTAAAATCGGGAACATCATTTAGACTAGCCCTGTATAATATAAGGGACGGACATATACCCCCGTTAGAGGACGAGTCTTACAGAAGTCTCACCCCATAGCAACAATATCAAAGCAAGACGAAATGTTTCAGGTGCGACGTACCCATCCAATTTCGGAACAAACGGCTGGTTCACTTCTACAAGTGGAAGAAGGCGGCCTTTTGTAGCCAGACGGAGCAATTACGGGCTGTCCCTGAATCAGACAACGTAGAAGTGACTTTCGGCCTATCAGACGCCATGATCTACGTCACGGCAGGACTGACGACGCTCGTCGCCATTATGGTGGTAGCAGGCATTGTCCTGCAGAGACGTTTCGACAGCAGACGCAGAGCGCGGAACAGGAGGATGTGATGGACACCGAGTCCACGTGGCGCCATCTCCGTTCCATTAACAGACGTACTGACGTAACTCACTTGCGCCAGGTTTTCTTCGTGAGCTCCAAGTCTTTTTCAGATGTTTTAATAATTTCTTTCTCGAGTTGTCGACGCTTATTCAGACGTTGAAACAATTCGCTGGTACAAGCTTTAAAAATAAATTTATCAGATTTGGAAGTTTCATTCCAAATGACTGAATGAAACGTAGTTTTGTCGGTTTCCGTCGTGTCAGTACGGCAGGAATAAACAAGGTCACGGACACTGTCTCTATTTATTCTATCAGAAATTGATATACTCCGTTATCGGACAAAGCCGTGTAACTTGTGCAGAAATTTTCCAACGAAAAGTTCACCTCAATCTCTGATGACAGACGAATTCTCTTATTTTCTGTAAGTCTTTTAAATCCCTGATTAAATAACTTTCGACAAACACGGAATATTTCTGTTTATATCAAATCTAAAATTTCTTGACGATGGTGAAGAGTCAATTGAATAAAAATTTTCTTGGATATTATCCATCGTCTAGTAAATATAAAACGTAAAACGACGTTTCGGAGATGGGACTCTA